CCCTTCAATCGCAGCACCGTCTTGACCCATTGGTTCATAGTCAACGTTTTTTGCCAAAGACTCACCGAGGTCGGTGTGCTACACCTCGTCTTATACATCTTTCAAGTCTCCGTTCTCCTAAGAAAGATTGGGCAGGTTGCTATGAGCCACCGGTGGAGGTTACTTCCCTTCGGAGCCGCCATAAAGTTCGACAAGTCCGCCGCTTGCGATGCCTCGAACAGCTTTATAAGAAATACACCCTGGCCGACATCCCTCCTGCCAACTGGCCATCCCTACCTCAATTTCATTCGCTGGTCCTCCAATGGCAGGCCATTCGACTCGCTAACGGTTACGGCAATTCATGGACACGGTGGTTGTTGCAATTTGAGGCCATTGATGCAGTCCCCACCGACCTGCCGACTTTAGATCAATTGTACACAGTTCGTCAAATCACACAGTATGATGCCGACCTGGATTGCCAACAAGAAGCCAAGCTTCGCCGGCTCTCGAATAAATATGGCATGGAATTAGATGTTCAACATAAGTCTAGCTCCCGATTCTATAAACAACTTAGAGCACAAGAATCTAAAGTGTTGCCAGGATTCCCTACTCAACTTCGAGCACAAGCCACACTACAACGGATGTCAAAGGGCCCCATTCGCCTTGTACTCCACCAACCGGTTGCATTTCGACTTTATGCTGCAGCCCGTTTTGGTGATGCCACTCTTCGAATCGTAGAACAACAGGCGAATTCACTTACCTGCCAAGTTCTGGATGGAGTCCTCCCCACACATGGTGACATACAGCAAAACATCTATGCATTCGAGCTCCCGGATATGGTCGGTCCATTTGAGCAATACTGGTCCCAATTTTGGAACCGCGACACGCCTAAGGATGAACAGGATGATCAGGCTTGGGACCCCCTGTTGCACTCCCTCCTTAATCGGATTCCACCCCAGACTCCGTTGGCAATTACCTGGACCGATCCGCAAATCCTTACACGCACCATACAACGACTTAAGCCATTTAAAGCTGTGGGAATAGATGGTTGGCGTGCGGAAGAACTTCAACTCCTTCCCCAAGAAGCTATTCACGACTTGGCCAATATTTTCGCCCACATTTGGCCAAAGGGGCTCTCGACACATCAAATGATCGCCCGTGTTATTCTGTTAGCCAAAAAAAACCCACCCACTTCTATCAATGATGGCCGCCCTATTACTATCCTAGGCTACCTGAGTCGTCTAACCTCCAAGCTCATTGCAGATCAGCTGCTTAGTCACTGGACACAAACATGGCCAAGTGCCATCTCAGGGGGCTTGCCATCTCGAGGAGTCCAAGACATCACATTTCTCCAGCAATTTCATATCGAAAAGGCAAAAAATCGGTCTGCACCATGGCGGGGCTTTACGCTTGATTTAATCAAAGCTTTTAATCTCCTACCGCGTAGAGTTATCTACCATCTTTTAATTTACCATGGAGTTCCACCAGATTCCATACAATTCTGGTTTCATAATCTCCGAAAAATGACTCGTCGATTACAAGTCAGAAATTGCGTCGGCCCCCCTCTCCACATGACCACAGGAGTTCCTGAAGGGGATAGTTTGTCAGTGTGTGCCATGCTTGTTGTCTCCTCGGCCTTCTATTGGACCATTCAAGCGCCCACGGTTTTCCCCTTTGCGTATGCGGACAACTGGTCTTATTTGACCACTAATCAGCGTGATAACATTCTTACTTTTCGCCGAATCCAAGATTTCGTTCACGCTTTTCGCATGCAGATCGACTATGCCAAATCATGGGCCTGGGGTGCTACCAGTGACGCACGACAGGACTGGACAGAGTTTTTAAACCAGGAATTTCCAGATAGCAACCAAGTCCCCGTCCTCAACTCTACTAAAGACTTAGGTTGCATGACTCATTACACACGACACATCACTTTGGGTCATCTGAAGACTAAAATTCACAGTGCGATTCAACGATGTCGAAGAATTCGTCGTTTTCCCACTGATATCCTTCAAAAGGCCCGGTTCATGCAGACAGCCGTATGGCCCCACGCATTTTTTGGAGCAGAGACACAGGTTGTCGGAGACAGTCATTTTCGTACATTGCGCAGGGAGGCAGCCAGGCCCTGATTGGCCCCGAATCTCAGATCTCTAGCTGGCTTGCAGTTCATGTCTTTAGTCAACAATTGCAAGATCCTCTTCTTTACGTGATTTCAACAGCATTGGCTTTCTTGCGCCGTCTGTACCACATCAACCCTGCTCTAGCTTGCGAGTTCACCAATGCGGTACTGTCGCACACGGGACCTGCTATTGGCCCTGCGGGCGCTCTGGCCAGATACTTGAACATAGTTGGGTGGTCATTACAAGCAGATGGTTCTCTTTTTCTTGATGGATATCTGTCCATTTCCCTCCAACACGATTCTCTTGCCTCTATACGTTCCGCCCTTCGTCAGGCATGGGCTTATCATATTCATCGCAATATTTGCCATCGGAAAGGGGCGACTGACCACCCTTTTGATTATACACTGTTGTCTCGCGTGATTCAGTCTATGTCTGTTACTACTATCCGTCAAATAGCATATAATTTGACAGGAGGGTACCAAGTCGGTGCGGTCAAAGCCCAATGGACAACGACTATCGATGCCAACTGCCCATTTTGCGGTCAAGTTGAGACCCATTCCCACCAACAACTTGATTGCCCTGATTTTGCACATGTACGCAAACGACACCCTTTGGCAGTTCGCTACCTTCAAGACAACCCCGACAAGCTTTGGTTACCTTTGCCCCATAGCTGCCCCGACTTGGAGGTCATTCGTCAACTCCTTCGACACCGTGGCACCGATACTGAACATACTACTATCCGACAGGAAGGTAATGTCCTTTACTTCTATACTGACGGATCAGCTGATACACCGATCCAGCCGGTCACTCGTCGGGCAGCCTGGTCCGTCGTACAATTCCTCCCTGATATGAGCACTGCACCCTTCTTGACCATTAAAATTCAGCACGTTAACGGGGCCCAAACCATCGCCCGTGCTGAACTAGCTGCAGTGGCTTGGATCGTTCAACATGCAGCTACACACCAGTGGCACCAGCAAATTGTGATCACAACCGACTCGCAATATGTAATCAACGTGATCCACGACACCACTAATCCTGCCAATCACCCTTCCTGGCACCGACTTGCCAATGCAGATCTCCTACGTATTATCGCACAATTATGGCAACCTACACAGTTCGTTTTGCGGAAGGTTCGATCGCACCAAGACATCACTTCGTTACCCCCTGGACCAATACGTGATGACGCACTTGGCAATTCATGGGCAGATCTTGCAGCAGTGCGTGCACGCCACACCGACCATCCGACCGTCGATCATCTGTTCTCTAAAGCCAACATCTGGCATCAAGATCAATACAGACAAACCAAGGCGATCCTTTCGTACTTAGCTGATCTCAACTCTTGTCACCTCCAACATAAAACAACCACATCTGCCGGTGGCGCCGGGTCGGCTCAGCACGAAGCCTCTCTGGACTGGGGCACCATTTTTCGCCAGCGTGAACATTACGTAGTTCCACCCCCGGTCTTTAATTTTTCCCCACATATCCATCCAGCTTGGATTACTGCCTGTGTGTGGGGCAATCAATATGCAGATTTAGTGTTTCGTTTCTGTACATCACTTGTATGGCCGGACCCTCTGGGTACACACACTGATCCGCTCATCACACAGGGAATAACATGGCATGAGCTTACTATTGCCTTTGTAGTTAATACCGGTGTCCAATTTCCTACTTGGATACATCTGCCTGAATCCCAAAGAGCACAACCTGTTCATTGGCAAGATCCCAGGGTACTGGCTTTGCCCATTCCCAAACGGGCCCTCCGTGAACAAGCAGAAGCTTTTCGCACTATCGTTATTTACTTGCAGAGTTACACGAGCACGCCATTGCTTCCCACATACTCCAAGACCGGATCAATCAGTCTCACTCAGGTTGGCTGGGGCCGGTCTTACACTGGAGGTTTCGCGTTCCGTCCTCAAATGCCTAATGCTGGGGCTGTACAACGCACATTGATTCAATATGCTGCTGATCTGCATTGTAAACCTCCTTACCATCCAGATGGTCTGATCCCGATGCGTTTCATCGTCCCGTCTATTCCAGTTGTTGACGCAATATCACTTACCTTTCATCAGCGCTTTCTTTATCGTCGCAATTTGCGCAAGAGCTGGAATCGTAACGGTGACCTCGATACCGTGTCAATCCCTGTCGATCCGAATTAGGAATTCACTGATTCAAGCCCTTCGTGCTATGCGGACATTCGGTCTCACGTAGTTAGACTTGTTTCATGTGTGCACTACACATTTTTGTTCATATCTGTCACGTAGATATTCTCGCCAAACTCCTCGACACCCACCAACACGGTGTAGGGTCGGAGGACGCGCGCAGACAGTGACCGCAACTTGTGTGAGTAGTAAGGCCAGGAGCCCCTAGTCGCTTCTTGTTCCTAGTAGCGATGCCCTTTGCTCCTAGTAGCTTCTTGCTCCTAGTAGTAAGGCCAGGAGCCCCTAGTCCTTCTTCTCCCTAGTAGCGATGCCCTTTGCTCCTAGTAGTTTCTTAAAAACTTGGGCAGATAGATGCCTTGGGTTCTTTTTCAAGATGCCTTCACAGTCGGGCAGGGTTGCTCTTTTTTTTCAGAAATACCACAATCGTAGTTACACATATCACATGTGTGAGAGCGCATACAATTCCAAACCAGATTAGTCGTCTCTCATGTCTCGTGTTCTTCACATGGGGGGTGCTTGATTCACTTGCTTGAGAAACAGAGTATTTGAAGCCTGGTCTTACAGCGTGCAAGAATAGCCTGGGGATGAACTATAATAGCAAGGCGCATTGTTGTGTGGTACTGAGTTTCCGAGTTAGATGCAAAATAACGCACCAAACTTGAACAGCATAGTCATCACCAGCGACATGCTTCAGCATATCTCATCTTTAGCCCAATGGGCCTGTTTTGGCAGCCTGGCTCAGGAAGGCTTCTGGGTGGGCGAGAAAGGCTTTGAGAAGTCTCAGTGGGCACAAGGAGTGGGTAAACAAAACTGGTGGGCTTCTGCACTTCTTCACTCATGCGATGTGCTGATAGTCTGGTGGTGTTGGGAAGGTAAGCACTGTAGCCTCCAAGTCACCTTCTTCATGTAGCCAATGTGGACCTACAGTTCTCCCGTTTGCGCATCGTGTTCGAGCAGCTTTGAGAAGGTAAGTCTGCTTTTTGGCATGTTTGGAACTTACACATTTTGTCGCTTTGCTGAATCAGCAGTGGACAAAGTGGACAGTAGTTCCTGTGTTTGCAAAGGAAACCTGTTGCCATCTAGAATGGAAAGCGCTTTCATGATGCCTTCCGTCGCCTTCCGTTGTGTATTTCGTGTGTGGGGGAGGGCAGATTCTCAGTATATACTGCCTCACCAATGCACTCCATGCAAATCCATGCCAGCTGTCGTGGGGGATTGTTGGACTCAGATCTCGCTTGATTGAGCGCAGGCTACCGATACCGTATGAGGGCGAGCCCTGAGGAATTGACAAGGGCAGAGGGCACGTGTGTGTACCATGGAAGCCATTCAAACCCATTGGCTTATCATCTCCAGAGCTTTTTGACGATTTAAGTTTAACTGTTTTGTGGCGATCAGATTCTTTTAAAACAAGTTCTTTTTTTCCATGCATGTCGGAGAATATGTGCGTTGAGCCTTTGTTCAGCACCCTCCCACTGTTGTGCTCAAAAAGACCGGCAAAAGAAAAATCCCACAAGGCTGTCAAAATCTAACTGCCAAATCCAAAGGCAATTTAGAAAGCCATCGAATGAGAAGAATTTCCATACTTCCCATGCTTCAATGGGCTCTTGTGTCAGATTGAATAGTTTGTGCAAGGGAACCATATTAAAGATAACACAGGATAAGAAATCGGCAGGCCATGGTCGTTTATGTCTGTCGTGAGATCGAACAAAAGCAAAGGAACGGCCATCGGCCATTTGCCATTACGGGAAGCTTAAGACTATTTGATTCAAGCACCTCTATGGTGTGAGATGCAGGAAGTCAAGAATGGCATCGACACTCCTCCGATGTATGGTGCTCAGCTCATGGAGCGTGGCAGAGCGTTCTAAATCGCGGCCATACGCAGCCGTTTTCTCAGATCAACACCTACCCTCAACAAGGGTTGCGGAATGATTACAATTTCGCACCCTCTGGTGATTGAATCACCATCTGTGTCTTACGGACATAGTTGTTGCATGCATGCCTTTAGGTCATTTTGAGGCCTAGTCGCAACAGACTGCCATTTACACGTGGTCATGGTAGCTACTATTTGCAATATTCATTGTTTGCCTTTCATATATGTCCCTTTCTGCTCTGCACAGAAACATTGGGGCAGCCTAGTCTGAAAAACACGAGTTGAGTATGAATACCCTTTGATTTTTGAGCGTGCGTAAAAAACAAAGACTTCAACTTTTGCAAGCCAAGTTGAACACTAGCTGGGGCCATTTGAGCTGTGAAGTTCGGCCTTCGCTCAGTTTCCAGCTGGGCCCCATCAAGATCAAGCTGGGCGAGGCAGCTGAGCTTGAGAGAACACTATGCAACTACAGTGGCATTCTGCACCGATCTTCTGACTGCGACTAAGTGATGCTATGCATTGTATAGCTTCATTCAATTAAGCTCAGCCTTTTGCTGAGTATGGGTTTGGAGGCAAATCCTGGGTTTTGATTCATATATTAAAGGAATAACACCAATATATATTATATATGCACATATATTTAAAGGACTTGCTCAAAAGATTCGACAGCATCACTTGCGGATTCTGCATATTGGTTTGTTGGGCAGACCGTCTCTAGAGGCACTATATGTAGATTTCCATCCGCACCTTTAAAGGTCTTATCAAAACACTGAAACTTCTGGCACCAAGAGGCTTTCTTCTGATAACATGACCTACGGGTTGCCACTATGAAAAACCAGAACGGTCTTAGCACTACCCTCCAGACTCCAAACTCTAGTAGCAACCTCCACCCAACCTGGACCCCCCCTCTCCATTTGCAGCACCATTTCCCTTGTGTCATCCAGTCAAAGAGTAGGAACCTGTTTGAGTGAAGACGCTAGGTACTGCTTGTCAAAATGTATGAAGGACATCCTTACATTTTTTCAATCGTACCAGCTCGATCCAAAAAAGCTTCGTGATCTTGACTGCCATTGTAGTAGTTGCCTCTGCCAGATGCTGGGCGGCAGCGGAAATAACGACAATCTGCCCCAGCCTCAAGATTTCTGTTTCTTGTGTCCTTTTGGCTGGCATGGATTCAGGATGCCCGGTTTCATATTATCCGACTCTACGTTGCCCACCACATGCCCCATGTATGGTGCCTTATATAAGCTTTGAGCCACAGCCAACACTGACATGGATATACAGTTGGTAGGGTAGAGGAATGGAGGTTCGTGAAGCTCCACAAAAGACGTAGTCTCGTATGCACGCCCGGAAGCGGGGCCCTCCGCTTTTGGTCGCCATGAACGTAGTCGAACGAAACAATAGAAAGGTTGGTTATGAGGATCCCAGGATTCTGCGGGTGCACAAGGCTTTGCCCCATTTTATCCTCCACCTCACACCAACCCCTTAAGGCGTCGGTTGAAGAAGGAGATCGCCCAAGCCGGCCTTGAAGACCCGAAGAAGATTGCGGACAGAAGGGCTCGGCGGGGCCAGACGAGATGCCCTTTGTTACTAGTCCTAGTAGCTTCTTGTTACTAGTAGTATGGCCAGGAGTTACTAGTAGCGTCCTTGCTACTAGTAGCGATGCCCTTTGTTCCTAGTAGCGTCCTCTTGCATGGAACTTTTACAATTATGGAATAGAATAGAGTCGAAGCTTTCAGATGATCTTCTCGACGATCATGGCGCCGACGATGAACATGACGGTGCATTCAAACGTTGGAATCCTTGCACGCACACACACGCACATGCACAGCAACGACAAGCATTTTTTCCGATTATATAATGAATTGACGGAAGCAATCGGCCGAAATGCAATGCTTACAAGGGGTTTGTTTCGTTGGCGTATGCTGACCTGTTTGCAAAAGCTTTTGTATGCAGTCATGGTTTCGAGAACTGTCTGTCAAGTTCATTTGCCTTGTAGCAAGATGAAGCTTTGTTTGTATGTTCTTTTCGTTTAATGACTGCTGAGTGAGCTGGCGAGCATATTATTTGCTGGACTTGTACTCTTTCCTGTATTTGGTGCAACTAAGTCACGGAGACAGCGTAGCAGCAGAACATGAGCCTTGCAAGAGCCAACCTACTGTAAACAAAGAAGCGACTAGGAGCTCCTGGCCTTACTACTAGGAGCAAGAAGCTACTAGGATCAAAGGGCATCGCTACTAGGAGCAAGAAGCGACTAGGGTTTAATGAACCACGACATCCGTTGACCTGAACAGAACATGCAAGATTGGCTCTGAGGAGAACGAGTATTGGCTGAAGCGCTATGGCCACAAGCGTTGGTTCCCGAAGTATGTGGACCAATCTGGCGCCCCAGGCGGCTGTGAGTGATGGAAGCCTACTGTGTTTTGGTCTCGAGCCTTTCGGTGAGTGAGAGGGTACAGTTGTGTGTTTGCTGTATTGTTTGAGGGGCTTTAGACCTGCATTAGATTGGTGGTTGTGAAATGTTGTAGATCGGAATCTGCGAAAGGACGTGGTGATATTTTTCGCGCAGGTCAGACAGGACTTTTCCGCGGACTGGCGGCTTGGTCAGGCAGACTGCTGTGAGGAACGGGATTTTTGCACAAAAAAGAAGAGCTATATAGTAGCTTCTTGCTCCTAGTAGTAAGGCCAGGAGCCCCTGGTCGCTTTTGGCTCCTAGTAGCGATGCCCTTTGTTCCTAGTAGCTTCTTGCTCCTAGTAGTAAGGCCAGGTCTTGGAAAACGTACTTGACAGGTTCAGCATCTTGAGAACCCCACAGCCTAAGGTGACTTGACCTCCGTTGACTCACTTGGCCCAATTCCCCACAGGACGTCCTTCGGCCTTGTTCGTGCCAAAACGGCGCCCATGCTACGTGGTTGAAAACAGTGCTGTTGGTTGCACTGCAGTGGGAGGGTACGGCGCCTTTCCGTCGTGTTCGATCTAGGCTGATCGAGGTTGTTCTACAGGCTTGAACGTGTTTTGCAGTGCAGCTTCATTCACTTGAGCGTGTGCATTGGAGCCTCACTGCTACCAATACTGGTAGCGGAGCCCTGAACTCCAGGGCTCCCTATCAGGGTTGGTGGTTCACTGGCTTTTGGACTCTTGCTGCTTTAAGCCTTTAAGCATTCTTGGACTCACAGGCTGCCTGGCCTGCCTTTCAGGCCCGCCCTAGTGTTTGGGGCGACCGGAATTCGTTTGGTGCGTGAGCATGACTTCGGTGGAGAAGAAGGAGCATATAGCAACATGGAATGGTGATGCAACATTGTGGCTTGACTATGTGAAGCGTGTCAGGTTGCAATACGAGAGAACGGAGCCCAAGAAGCGTTGTTTGTTGGGAGCTGAGTTGGCTAGCAGGTTGACTGGCAAAGCATGGGATGTGACCTCGGCGGAAGTTGATCATTCCCGCCTCCGACAGTCGAATGGTGCATCTTACTTGTTGTCTTTCCTGGAGGAGCGCTTGTGCAAGACACCTGTGCCTGATGTTGGGCAACGGCTTGAGGAGTTCTTCATGAAGTTGAGGAGACAGCCCGGAACATCCATGACGGAATGGGCAACCGCCCTTCGAGAGTCGTACAGGCGCTTGCAACGAGCAATGGCCCGCCAGAGACAACAAGCTTTGTCGAATGCCCCTGCAGCCAAGGAGACTCCTTCAGTTCGACAGAACAGCCTCACGACTCCCAGTCGTGAACGGCACCACGCCCCAAGCTAGACAGGAGACCATTGCCACCTTTCCCGATGTTGAGGAAACCTGTGCATGCCATCGATGCGCCAGGAGTTCCACTTCTTTTGAGTGTCCGCACCTTGCGGCGCATGGGAGCTGTCATCGACACCGAGAGGAACATGATGCAGCTTCGCAAGTTTTCAGATGACGAATGAACACTTGTTGCTTGACGTGACTTGTGACTGGTATCACCCTCTGCCAAACAGCGACCGCTGGAGCATATATGGAGCAGCCGTATGTCACTTCATGATTATCGCGTACCGCATGATTTTGTTTGTGGGCCTCCACATGTTCAGTCAACAGAAGAGCTTTGCGCACAAGAGAATCGTGTTTTGTCAAGTCCGCCGACCGCTTCGAAATCGTCATTTTTGTCAGAGAACACTTTTTTGACCACTTCTACACCTCCGATGGGAACAGGCTCAAGCATGCCATCTGTGGCGACTGCTTTGACGACGCTTGCTGCAGCGACCCTTGCTCTTTCGCCCTCGCACCATGGGCCACCACTCAGGGACGTGCGCCGACCAAGGAAGAACAGGACGCCGATCCTTCGAGCACTGGAACGCCGGCAAGCAGAACGACGACATCTACTACAAGTTCGAAGCCAGCGCGCAAGTCGCGCAAGGACAGGACACCCACACCCGAGAGGTACGACCCCACCTGCCGACGACCCACGCAGTCAGGGATATCCATGCTATGGGAATCATATCCCAATGGCACCGGGCCGCGGGTCCCTGACGGGGCGAAACAAGTTCGGGATCTGGGCACGCTGCGAGACCTGCCGTCTCAGGATCTCGTACACTCCGGCATTCGGAGCGACAGCTTTGCGCCGACAGGCTGGGCCTCTCCTGGCCGACGTGAACACCACCCCCAAGGACTTGGAGCCCAAGAAGATGAAGGAGGACCCGATGTACCGGGAGCAGCTGAATCCCAAGTCCGTGGGCTACAAGGGCGCGGAAGAATCCTTGCATCGACGTTTGAAAGAGATCGAGGACTCCAAGAAGAAGAATCCACCACGCCAGCGCCCAGGAGCTGCAAAGGATGCCCAGATGCCTCCTACTCATGCATCGGCTGCCCACTCAGAACGTGACATTGAGGGAAAGAAGGCAGCCAGGAGAGAAATGCGATCAGACTCCGGAGGAGAAAGAATGGGATCTGGTGAAGTCGCCCGTGGCCTCACCGGACAAGGTATGAATGCCTCCATCCTGGAGAATGACGCGACGCCGGACGACGACCTCCTCGATTACACAATTCCGGACGATGAGAAGGGCATTGGAACTCGCAGCGGGACTTTGACACCCCGCCAACGAGACCAACTATGTCTGTGCGCGGAGGAGTTCATTGAAGAAGCCAACATGGAAAGATCTCCTACCTCCAGAACAGGGCATTAACATCATGGAGATTTGCTGCCCACCAGACTCACGTTTGACACAGACCTTCTTGGATCGTGGCCGACAGGCTATAAGGGTTGAATGCCAGCTCACAACATCGCCACGCCCAAGGGAGTCCGTGAGATCAAGGAGATGATCGCTCGCTGGAAGCCAAAGGTGACATGGTTTTCACTTCCTTGTGGACCCTTTTCACCCATCCAGGAGCTCTTCAACGAGAAGGACGAGGCCTCCAAGCTGAAGAGCGTGGAACGAAAGCAGAAGTCCAAGAAGATGATCAGGAACGGCCTTGAGATTGCTGAGTACCAGTTGTAGGAAGGGCGTGATGTGGCTTGGGAATGGCCAGCAAATAACAGAGGATGGCACCTTCAACCAGTTCGAGCATTTTGGGCTCGCCTGGCGGAAACTGGTGATCTTCATTGTGGACGAGCTGATGGCTGTGCCTTTGGTTTGAAAGATGAATCAACCAGATAATCCGGAAACATTGGCTGGTAAAGTCAACATCCAAGGATTGCGAGAGCCGTTTCAAGAACATGTCCCGGAAGTTTGTTCCACCCAGAACACCGTGAATGTCTTGGGGGTTCAGTGGCCAGAAATTCAGGCTTCTATCCATCAGCCTTGTGCGATGTCATCTTCAAGGCCGTCAAGGAGATGAACCTCTCGGAAGCCAACAGCGTGATCCCAGCGTATCCTGTTTTTGGCACGGGAGACCTCGTGCCAGAGAAGCCCAAGAAAGTGTATGAGCCTTTGTCCGAGAAGGAGAAGAAGGGCGTGCTTCAGATTCTGGAGAGACTGCGTAAGAAGACAGGCCATCCATCGAATGCTGCTTTGAGTTCTTGCTTGAGGCAAAGCCAATCTGCTGGAGGGTGTTCTTGCCACATTGGAACCAAGAGGCTGGGGCGTTGACAAGCCCGTAGCACGACTTGATGACCTGGACTGCCTCTCCTGGCTTCACGCCAAGTGCTTCAGCGAGTTCCGGCACAGGCAGCGCGAACAGGTGGCGGCCAAGGCGCTCTTCACGTCGCCCTTCAACACTCGCCATGCCCTCACTGAAGAGTATTGCAGTGAAAGCTGTCTTGTCCGACGAGTCATAGTCGGAGCAGCTGACTGGGTGTCTTGTAGATCTGGGTCCTCATAGCCGATGAGGACTATTCGGCCTTTTGCAGCGTCAAGACCCAGCGCATGCGCGCCATGCGTCCGGCTGGAATCGGGCCGATGGCTTTCCGAACCGCCTGAGCAGCAAGCGATTGGGACACTTCTGCCTGTTTAAGTTTTGCCACCTGAAATTCGGCTTTCTTCGCTGGCGACAATTCGTGCCATCGGACTTCTGCTCCTTTCACCTTTTTCACAAAGTAAGCAGTGGGGTCCCGTTTCATGGCACGCCAGTCGCTTGGTCTCTGCGGCCGGGAGAGCTCTATCTCGCATGCCAAGTTGCCGAGCTGCAGCTCTCCAGAGTTGGAGAAGAAACCATAGGCCAGCAGCTCATCAGCCGAATCCGCAGCGAGCTTCAAGCGCTACTTTTTGAAGAGCGGCTGCTCAAACAACTCGGTCACATTTCTGCTTCTCGCCATGGGGTCCGGATCATATCCGGGATCGCGGACGACGCGGCCGAGATCTATGGGGGAGCGTGTCCCGCTTTGGGGTCCGCTAGAAGGTGCACTACCGCTACCTAGACCAGGGGTACCCGGGTTTCTGGGAGGAAGTTCCCGAGAAAGATCCGCTGGTTTTTCTTCTTCAGTTCTTGATGCCTTGGCGCTCAAAAAAATAGTGGCAGCACATCAACCTGGAGGCCTCGTCAATCATGGCCATCATGTGGTAGGTGATGTCATTCACCGTGAACACCATGTTGTCAATCGCCAAAAGTTTCCCAGAGAGTTTCCGATTTCTAGAAAACGAAACTTCCACAGACGGGCGAAAAGAGACCCTGGGCTATGTTTGCTCACGCGTGGACGACTTCCTCGTGTCTGGCAATGAAGCCAATGAAGAGTGGGTGGCCAAGATTACTTCTTTCTACAACAGGTTCAAATGGTCACCCTGGGAGTGTTCGAGCTTCACGCATTGCGGGCTCCAGATCATGGAGCAGCAGGATTTCAGCTTTGTTTTGAGTCACTCCAAGTTCATCGAGGGCATTGAACCCATTGAGTTTGAAGCCCGACCGGATCACAACCCTGTCAAAGCAGAGGAGTTGACCCAACTGCGAGGCGTGTTGGGGGCCCTGCAGTGCAAATCAACCAGAGTTCACCATTGCTTGCTGCTCGACTTGGGCAGTTGCAAGGCGAAATCAGCGTGGCCACAGTTGGTACATTGAGAGCGGCAAACAAGTTGCTGCATGAGGCCTTCCATGGCCGACGTGTGTCAGTGCGTGTGAACCAGTTGCACGTTGATGACCCCATGGATGTTTGCTTTCTAGGTTGGTCTGATGCTGCCCTTGCCAACCGAAAAGACCGGAGGCTACGTGATCGCCGCGACGGCGCCAGGCATGCTTCAAGGCGCCCGGAGCTCCTTGTCACTGGTGTGTCATGGCGGTCAGCTCGCCTTCAGCGAAAGGCCCGATCGTCCTTGAGCGCGGAGACCCAGGCACTGGCCGAATGTGACCAAGAGTTGATGTTCACAAGGCTGGCGTGGGCTGAGTTCTGCGGTGTCCCGATCCAGCTGAAGCACCCCTCCGATGCAGTGCGGCGCATCTGTGGTGCGGTGATCGTGGACGCAAAAGCGCTCTACGACGTGCTCATCAAGCGAGACCTCAACTCCAGTGGTGCTGGTCTCAAAGACAAGTACACAGCACTGGAACGAGTCCATCGGGCAGAATTCGACAGTTGTCAGGTGGGTGCACAGTGAAGCACAGATCGCTGACGCACTCACCAAACCCTTGCCACCTGGGATCTTGGAGAAGGTCCTGATCGAGGGGTCATGGACCTTGCAGTTCGATCCCCTTTTTGTGAGCGTGTCTTGGAAAACGTACTTGACAGGTTCAGCATCTTGAGAACCCCACAGCCTAAGGTGACTTGACCTCCGTTGACTCACTTGGCCCAATTCCCCACAGGACGTCCTTCGGCCTTGTTCGTGCCAAAACGGCGCCCATGCTACGTGGTTGAAAACAGTGCTGTTGGTTGCACTGCAGTGGGAGGGTACGGCGCCTTTCCGTCGTGTTCGATCTAGGCTGATCGAGGTTGTTCTACAGGTTTGAACGTGTTTTGCAGTACAGCTTCATTCACTCGAGCGTGTGCATTGGAGCCCATACTGGTAGCGGAGCCCTGAACTCCAGGGCTCCCTATCAGGTTGGTGGTAAGGCCAGGAGCCCCTGGTCGCTTCTTGCTCCTAGTAGCGATGCCCTCTGTTCCTAGTAGTGCTCTTAGTAGTAAGGCCAGGGGCCCCTACTAGTCCCTCCTAGTAGCGATGCCCTTTGTTCCTAGTAGCTTCTTGCTCCTAGTAGTAAGGCCAGGAGCCCCTAGTCGCTTCTGGCTTTTAGTAGCGCCAGGAGCTTCTGGTCGCTTCTTGCTCCTAGTAGCGATGCCCTTTGTTCCTAGTAGCTTCTTGCTCGGCCCCTAGTCCCTTCTTGCTCCTAGTAGCAATGCCCTTTGTCCCTAGTAGCTTCTTTCTCCTAGTAGAAAGGCCAGGCGCCCCTAGTCGCTTCTTGCTCCTAGTAACTAGTAGCGATGCCCTTTGGTCGGGCCAGGAGCCCCCAGTCGCTTCTTGCTCCTAGTAGCGATGCCCTTTGCTCCTAGTAGCTTCCTGCCCCAAGTAGTAGGGCCAGGAGCCACCAGTCGCTTCTTGCTCCTAGTAGCGCTGCCCTTTGTTCCTAGTAGCTTCTTGCTCCTAGTAGTAAGGCCAGGAGCCCCTGGTCGCTTCTGGCTCCTAGTAGCGATGCCCGTTGTTTGAAGTAGCTTCATTCTCCCAGTAGTTAGGCCAGGAGCCCCTAGCAGCTTCCTGCTCCTAGTAGCGATGCCCTTTGTTCCTAGTAGCTTGTTGCTTCTAGTAGCGATGCCCTTTGTTCCTAGTAGCTTCTTGCTCCCAGGAGTAAGGCAAGGAGCCCCTGGTCGCTTCTTGCTTTTTGTCGCGATGCCCTTTGTTCCTAGTAGCTTCTTGCTCCTAGCAAAGTGGCTCCTAGTAGCGATGCCCTTTGTTCCTAGTAGCTTCATACTCCTAGTAGTTAGGCCAGGAGCCCCTAGCAGCTTCTTGCTCCTAGTAGCGATGCCCTTTGTTCCTAGTAGCTTGTTGCTCCTAGTAGCGATGCCCTTTGTTCCTAGTAGCTTCTTGCTCCCAGTAGTAAGGCAAGGAGCCCCTAGTAGCTTCTTGCTCCTAGTAGCGATACCCTTTGTTCCTAGTAGCTTCTTGCTCCTAGTAGTACGGCCAGGACCCTAGTAGCTTCTAGCTCCTAGTAGCGATGCCTTTTGTTCTTTCTAGCTTTTTGCTCCCAGTAGTAAGGCCAGGGCCTCTAGTAGCTTCCGTAGCGATGCCCTTTGTTCCTAGTAGTTTCTTGCTCCCAGTGGTAAGGCCCGGAGCCCCTAGTAGCGTCCTTGCTCCTAGTAGCGATGCCCCTTGTTCCTAGTAGCTTCTGGCTCCTAGTAGTATGGCCAGGGGCCCCTACTGGCTTCTTGCTGCTAGTGGCGATGCCCTTTGTTCCTAGTAGCTTCTTGATCCCAGTAGCAAGGCCAGGACCTGTTAGTAGGTTTTTGCTCCTAGTAGCGATGCCCTTTGTTCCTAGTAGCTTCTTGCTCCTAGTAGTACGGCCAGGAGCGCCTAGTGGCTTATTGCTGCTAGCAGCGACACCCTTTGTTCCTACTAGCTTCTTGCGCCTAGTAGTAAGGCCAGGAGGCCCTAGTAGTTTCCTGCTCCTAGTAGCGATGCCCTTTGTTCCTAGTAGCTTCTTGCTCCTAGCAGCAAGGCCAGGAACCCTAGTCGCTTCTTGCTCCTAGTAACGATGCTTTGTTCCTAGCAGTTTCTTGCTCCTAGTAGCCATGCCTTTTGTGTTTAGTAGCTTGTTGCTCCTGGTAGTATGGCCAGGAGCCCCTGGTGGCTTCTTGCTCCTAGTAGCGATGCCTTTTGTTCCTAGCAGCTTCTTGCTCCTTGTAGTATGGCCAGAAGCCCCTAGTAGTTTCTTGCTCCTAGTAGGGATGCCATTTGTTCTTAGTAGTTTCGTAAGGCCAGGAGCACTAGGGGCTCTTGCTCCTAGTAGCGATGCCCTTTGTTTTCCGTAGTTGTTGCTCCTAGTAGTAAGAGGCTAGGAGCCCCTGGTAGCTTCCGTAGCGATAGTAGCTTCTTGCTCCTAGTAGTAAGGCCAGGAGCCCGTACTCGCTTTTTGCTGCTAGTAGCGATGCCCTTTGTTCCTAGTAGCTTCTTGCTCCCAGTAGTAAGGCCAGGAGCCCCTAGTAGTTTCTTGCTCCTAGTAGCGCTGCCCTTTGTTTTCCGTAGCTTCTTGTTCCTAGTAGTAAGAGGCCAAGAGCCCCTAGTAGCTTCTTGCTCCTAGTATGCCATTTGTTATGTTTCGTAAGGCCAGGAGCCCCTAGTAGCTTCTTGCTCCTAGTAGCGATGCTCTTTGTTCCTAGTAGCTTCTTGCTCCTAGTAGTAAGGCCAGGAGCCCCTAGTGGCTTCTGGCTCCCAATAGCGATACCCTTTGTTCCTAGTAGCTTCTTGCTAGATGCCCTTTGTTCCTAGTAGCTTCTTGCCCCTAGTAGTAAGGCCAGGAGCCCCTAGCAGCCTTGCTCCTGCAATGCCCTTTGTTGTGTGCTTGCTTGCTCCTGTTAGCGAAAGAAGAAAGATTAAAGATAGACCTGTCCCTTATACAATAAGGGGCCGTCTCTTCAGCACCCTGAAAACACAACCGGTGAAGGGGAATAGCTCGTCAAGGATGGGGGATGGGGTAATCACCGTAGTCTTCCTGGGCCTCAATGCTGCTGGCCTGCGGGTGAGTAAATGAGCTCCGACGAGTTTTACCAAGGATGCCAGTTTTGATTGCAGGCGGTTGCTTCTGCCACACAGATCTGAAGTGCTCTGAGAGTATCTACATGAATATAGACACACAGTTTCCGACAGTTTCCCAAAACATTTACGACCCCATGAATAGTGCGAGTGTGAACTATCCTGTGTCCAGTAGCCTGCTTAATTATGCAAGAAAACAGCAGAGCGGGCTTTCAAAAGTTTGCAACTTTCCTGAAGTCTTCACCTTCTTTACTGTATCCTTCTTCACCTCTCCTTTTTGCTCGGTGGCATAAATTATGCGGAGGCTTCGATCCCTTGAACGAGGAGCGTGGCAAGACCTGGATCGAGGCCTAAAACTTGGCAGTTTGTCAAAATATCTCTTAGTGTCACGCCGAAAGTTCAGGACTCGTGTTGATTTAGTTTGGCCCTTGTCTTTGCCAGAAACCATACATAGCATGTGTTCCTCAAGCACTGACTGACACCTATGTTCTGCAGTTGATGCCCATGTCCGTAGCGATTGACAGCCTGCACATCTCCCAGTATATTGATAGCTTTTGTCAAGAATCGGAAGCCTTCTTTATCCTCAGAAATATTGCTCCCCGCAGCAGTCAGAAATGAAGAGAGCGTTATATGGTAGTGTGTCATTTGTTGTGGGGGCAACACTTAGTGCCAGGCTGACTACGGCAAGCCTTTGATGAAGGGCAAAAAGGATCTTCAGTACGCCCTATCAGATGTTGCCAGCGACAGATTTCTATTCTGTCAGCAAGCACATTGTTTACAGCTGGAAGAGGTTTGATATTGCAATGCTCAAACTTATTGGGTCTGCTTTTCCACAGGGCATCTCAGATATCACTTTTGCACAACTGGAGCAAGAAACAATGTTTGAACGCGGCAAGGCTGCCGGGTCTCCTCACCAAGGAGCAGTAGCACTGGCTCGCTTGGAGCTGGGTAGAATGGTTGGAGGGCTCGGTTGAAGGGAAAGCCTCAAGAGCAGTTCTTGATCAGAGATTTTATTGGAAAAGGAAGGTCAGAATTAAAAGAAGGTAGGGACTCCTTTAAAGTGCTCCTTTTCCAAAAACCTTGAAACCAAACGAATCGTGAATAGTGCTCCTTAAAGACATTGTATTTTCTAGTTTTAAGGGGTAGCGACGTCCAGGAACTCGGGCGACATTTGTGCAACTTTTGTCCCAGAGCGGTTCGGTGGACGGGGCTGGTGAGACATTGGACACACGAGTTCTTTTCTTCTTTTTCAGTGCAACATGAGCATTTATTTTAACGATGCATTGTAGTGCATTGTAGTAATTTCCATTGAAACAGAGAGTATGTGCAGCATTATGACAGGATGCAGAAGGAGCTCGACAGTGGCAAGCTGCCCAAGCTGCCAGCGGCCAAGAAATGAGGCGCCTTGGCTAACAGGTGGAGAAAGATAAGAAAGGAGCCAGAACCATATCCTAGCAATGTTGTGGCTCATCAGCAGGTCGGTCAGACCTCTCACAAGCACAATGCAGGGATCAAAACTAGAGACCTCAACGATTGTAAATGCACATGCCTGGGGTAGACTCCTTTACACGAAAGCTGTCTTTTCTTTGTTCTATTGATTGAACCACATTCAGCTTTGCATGCCGTTTCTATCACCCCTTGGTTGCTTTTCTGCTGAACTCTTGCGGTGCAGGTGCTGCGTTCTGCTGATGATGGGTGGGAAGTTGTTCTTTCCTCCTGCAGCTGTCCGACATCTAGATGTTTGGCAGAAAATCAGCATGTTTGATAGATTTGTCAAAACTCCAAGAAGACACATGAGCTCACATGCACATGAACACAATGCCTTGTGTTTCTCGAGCATGGCATTAGCAAGTGTCCTTGAGCCTGCAGAAGCAGTGCTCCTATGTTGATTTTTCCAGGCAGAGCTTCTGGGAAGCGCATTCAATTGAGCTCCCCCAGTAGGGCTGCAGAAAAGAAGCAAGTCAGCGAGCTGGGTGCTCACTAGTGCGCCTATCAACTCAGATCTTCAAACTGTCAGTTTGTCACTAGGACTAGTTGGTTGTGGGCAGGGACTGGAGGTTAAGCGGGAAACTGCCACACACTTGGATTGTCAACACACAACCACAAACATACATGCACAATCACAAACAAACAATCACAAACACACAACATATGGCGCCGGTATCACCAGATATGATATATTTTACGAAAGCCAGCCGATAGGCTAGGCTGAAGTGCTTGATAGGCGAACGAAGTGAGTGTTAGTGGGGTGGTTGCGAGGTCGCGCTTTTTCGGGTAGGGTTAACCCAGAGCCTGGGGGAGAGCTAAAGAAAGGTGGGTGGACAACAGGTAGTAAAAATGCATGTTTACAACGGCCTTGGTGATGCGAGTGATTCCAAACGGTTTAATAGTGCATCATTGGCATCACAAAGTGGCCAGGCAGTCGGTCTAGTGTATGATTCTTCCCCAGCTGAACGCAAGAGGTTGAAAGATGCAAGACGAGATGCGTACTACCATGTTCATGGAAGACAACCCAGCTGAGGTTCAAAAGAACGCGCTATATTTTTGCTGGGAAACGAACAAGGCCTTAGAAACACGAGGTATGACATGGTATGACCATTGATGTCAGTAATATGGAATACATGACGTGAGACGGCACGCACGGGCTTCTGAAGTCACAAACAACTTTGGTAATTTGGTACGGGTGGGCATGTGTGAGCCTGGTTCGTAAAGAACTTTCCAAAAGCATGCCAACAGTTGGAGCTTGCTGAGATTTACACGAGGGGTTTTGAATTGACCAAAGGTTGGTTGTTCAACTGACTCAACTTTCTCTATCTCAGCAGGTGTTGCCTGCTGTCGGCGCACAGGTGCAGGAACCGCTGTTGTCGAAGTGGGGCTTTGATCCATCCGAAGAAGGCCTCGCTGAGGCGTGGAACATTCTGATGGCCAAAAGGCACAACACGTTCCTTGGACTTTGGACTCTGCCGATTCTTTATTCACAGGTTCACAGTGCAAGGAATTCCTGAATCGTCGTGACACGTGGATTCAGGGCGCCCCACAGGTGATATGGCCTTTTCAGCAAATCACGTTGTCTCAGAACCAACCATAAGCGTGGGAGTCAACTCAAAAGCCCAAGAAGCAAACACTCGGGACTACACATTTGACATGCGTGTTTTGATTCATCTTGGGTGGATCCTTCCCAGGTCATCTTGAGGAAGAACTGACCAGTTGTCAGTTGTCATCATGGGCTTTGCCTTGACCCACACACAGCGACTGCCCACTCTCATCTCCTTTTCTGCGATCAGATGATGGTGTGCCTGAGCGACCACACCTTCAAGGATTCATCCTTGCGGCTACTTGGTGCTTTCAATGGGACAGCAGGTTTGAGGAGCCCAGAAAAACGCTGCAACGCCACGGCTGCAACCTGAATCAACCTTACAGGTTTAGGGAAAATAACATAAGAGGAGTTGGATGACCTCTTGAATTCAAAACTTGACCAAGAGCGAGTTCTTTGGTAGTGTGAGTGCGGACTCAGGAAACTTGCGGACGAGACGACCAAGATGCTGTATGGAGGGGAGGATGGCATGTGGGGCATGGAGGATTGATGGGTCCTCCTAGATACGATAGCCTCAGAGTCAGATATGGTGATCAGCATTCATGATCTGAGCTCCACATGGGTTTTGCTCCTCCAAAGGCCCACGTGGTGGACCTTTGGGGTGCCCTCCGGGTGCCCTCCGTGCAGCTTCTTTTGCGCATTGTATGTTTCACAGGTGCGGTAGATACGCAATCACAGGCCAGCAGGTTGGAAAAGAACCAGTGGGTGCCGTGGTTAAGTCCAAATTTATCTATTGAGAAAAGAGCGGTTACCTTTTTGGGAAAGACTCCTTAGTCTTTCGAGCTTGGGTGAAGAAGCCATTTCTGGCCAAATTGGATCTTGCCCAGAACGATTTGTTTTGCGTTTGCAGCACTCCGAACACTCCAAGTCCGTCAGATCCATGCCACTCTCAGAATAGTTCCAAGCAATGACAAGCACTTCTATGCTGCCTGTTACTTGTAGTTTAGAGCATATCTGAACTAAATCAGCCAGTCACTGCTTCTCCACCAGTTCTGTGCCCTGCGTGTCTGAGATAGCAACTGTGCAAGTTTCGCGCACGCGGGCTCAGTCCGGCCGCAATGAACGCATGAGGTGCCAAAGTGCTTTTGAGTTCGCAATTCCACAGACCTCATATAGATTGTTCCCCTTCCGAGCCCCAGAGCAGAGTCATTTTTCAGAAGGATTTGGCTGGACTCTTACCAGTCCCATTGCAGCAACCTGTAGACTCTCCTGCGACTTCCGCTGCAGCTGCATCCTTGGAGCCAACAAGACTGCCCATTCTTCAGAGCCAGAGATCCTTGCAAGTCTAGCGTAAGGAATCTATCTGGTGTTGCAAATAAATAGATATATAATATATATATATATATACACTGCTGTACATTTCACATGTTCAGATCAATTTTGGACCTTCTTGTGTTGCCCGCTGTCACTTAATCAAAGGATGCCAAAATTCTTGATGCATGGGTGGGTTGATTGCTCAGAATGAAATCAAGGGCACTCTCTTGACTTTTCTATCCTGTCCCACGAAACCATTCCTGGAGCTGAGCAATTTGGACAACTTTATCCTATTCCGAGCAATCAGGAATCAGGACCAACAATACTTTGGACTCAAAGTGAGCGGGGTCTCAAAGCGAGCGGGGTCCAACCAAGGTGCCGAGGTTCCCCTTTGTTGATGGAACTCATGGAACTCCTTTGGTTGGTAAGGCCATGCAGGCGCCTTCAGCTGTGCCACAGGCCCTCAGCGTAACGCCGCGCGGGGCTCCAGCGGGTTGGTTTCGGACTTGGGAGACCGAGTGTATAAATTTATGATGGGTTTTCGGCAGGCCACAGCTCTCAAACCTGCATTCTAATGAGGTCGGTTAAGGACGTGGGAATGGAAGGTACACTGCATGGATGTTCCCAGCTGCTCGATTCTGGTGCTCTTTATGTAAGCCACTCTGGAAACGATCTGAACTTTGTGGCTATCCTTCCAGCTGGCCACCTTTCCAGTTCCAATACATGATGTTCTTGAAGACTGGCAACCCCCCAGTGACGTTCGAAAGACACCCTGTCTAAGCATCTGTCTGACCAAGCGCAGTGGGGCTCAAGCTTCTGGCCCAATTTCAGGGCACGTTTGAAGCCATGGATCAAGAGAGGTTGCTTGGCTCCGGGATGCTTGATTCCTAACCTGAATCCACACCAGCCTAGATGAAGCTTCCCTCTATCCAAATTTTCCAGCAATGGGTTGAGTAACTTGAGTAGCAACAAGTAATTAGTTGTGTGCATGGCTTTGTACTTTGTACGGCACTTGAAATGATGGACATGAGTAGCTCATCCAGCTGAGCTCAGGTCTCGATGGTGGTCGCGCTTCCGAAATCAACACACAGCAATTGGCTACATGCTGCAGGCCGGAATCACATGACGGGGTGCCCACGGGCACCAGCCTCTCCAGAAAAAGTGTGGGTCAGCTTCAAGGAATGGATCGGAGGAGCACCACCAATTCGAGGCGGATAGATCAAGGATCAATTGTCGGATTGTTCAACACATTTCTCATCCACCAATTTCACTGTGCATTTTTCCTTCCGGGAGTGACCTTGAAGGCAGCAAAAGTGGTGGGCAGCGAAGCGCTTGGTCTGTCCGAGAGATTTCTCAAGCATCGAGAGCAGTGGCTTGGCAGCTTGTCACCTTCAAATGTCTTCGCATTGGGATTGCATGGGATTGTCGGGATGTCACCTAGTGAGCAAGTTCAATCAACATTTCACTACGTAGCCTTTGTTCCGTGAATGCCACCTTCGTATCGAAAAGCCTGAGATCCGAATGGGAGACAGATCAGCCAGTGTAGTTCAGGCTCAGCTAACTGTTCGGAATTTGTCCAGGCGTCCCTTTGGATGTAATAAACAAAGGCCCATACTTTTAGGCAGGAATCAGCAAGGTAAGAAGTCTTTTTACTGTAAGTCTAAGTCTTTTTGCAATTTCTCCTTTACTGTCGTTTCAGCTTTCTGATTTTTGGCTAAGGGGTGTCAAGCCTCGCTGCGACTTTAGTGTGACCAGCATCGATACGGCCGTGGTTGATGGCCATGTTCTGCGCGGCAGCTTGTTACTTCCCAAAGGCCAGGGAAAGGCAGAGCGCAGAGGAGCGCAGAGGCTACAAACAAACAAAGCTAAGCTAGGGCATGGCACCAGCCAGCTAGGCCACAACCCACCCACCAACCCACCAACCCACCAACCCATGCAAAGCGATTGACCCAAAATTCTATAAGGTCAATGGGACCCTAAAACTTCAGTGTCATGAGCAGGAACACAAAGCAGACTCCCATCCACCTGAGCACTCTAGCAGACCTTTTCCTATCTTCGATACAACGGACTCGAAGGGTCACGTGGCGGCATCCAGCAAGGAAAGCATCAAACCATGCCTGACCGGCTCATGTTGGCGGATTTTTTGGTTCTTTGCACACAACTCACAACTCAAACAGAATTCTTGAATTATCTCGACATGGAATGCGTACATTTGAGGCTTCAGCTTCCCCTAACCAACCAACCAACCAACCTTGTTGAAACCAGCCAAACCATATTCTGCAGCCAGCACCCAACCAAAAGCACCCTATGCAAAAGCTAGGGATCAGCAATCTTGGGTACTTTGTGAAAGCCAGATTTGGTGAAGAGGTTTACAAGTTGCAAAATCCTGTTTGTTTAGCGCTGGGGTGTAGCTTTGCTGGTCTGCAGTGGAGCCTGGAGAATGGTTATGGGAAGCTTCAATTCAAGGGTTTCATTGCGTTTGCCCTTGAACTAGCTGAATGTGTAAAGTAAACATCTTGTGTTCAGTATTCTCAATAGGAAGGAGCCCTGCAAGATCTATCGGCAATGTTTGAAAATGGCCACCAAATTGAGATGGGGGGACCCAGTCAGAATCTTGGCATCTGAGCGGTTTGTCCACCACCCACAAGCGCTGCCAAGTTCGGAGGTTTGGAAGGTCCTTTTCCGTCGGTGCTGCTGCGGACACCCTATGGGCGCAAAGCTGAAATGGGCCAAAGTGCCTGGGCCTGCCGGGGTGTTTAGACAGTCAAGTTGCTAGTTACTGCCAGTTGTGTCTGGTGTCTGGTGTCGTTGAGTGGACAGTCTCATGGTGACAAGGCATTGCCTGTTAAGGATTTGTTTCACCTTTCCGTTGACCCTCGATGCCTGGGTTCGGCATCGCACACTGCAGCCAAAGGTGTCCTGGCCAAGCAGGGCTATGCCGTTTTGGTGCAAGATACGCGTGGGCGCTTCTCCAGCAGTGGGGAGTTTGTGCCTGTGCAACATGCATCTTGCTTCAAGCGGCCCCGATCGCCGGCTCACCTCAAGATGTGCCAAATACTGCAACTTACCCAATTGCCACACACACACACATTTGGTAATCCTTGTGGACATGGCCATGTCATCTCAACAGAACAAGTTGGGCTCTCGCCACCGGGACAAGTTGCATCGGACAGTTCAAGCAGCCGATTTCCAGATGTGTACCCTGACTGTAACCCAACCCATGATTTTCTCCCCTAAAAAGACAAAGGCGGCTCAGATATCTTGGACCACAGGGACATACAAAGTTTAGGGACATCGATGGGAACCCCTCCTGCCGTTCCTCCAGCTGTGTGCTGACAGTTGCAACATAGTATTTTCCAGAGTTGCCACTCATGTTTGGATTCAGAACCGAGATGAGGGCGTTACTAGTAGCGTCCTTGCTACTAGTTACTAGTAGCGATGCACCTTGTTACTAGAAGCTTAGTCATTTCAGTGGGGGGAGTGCCACTTGAAGCAACGGCTTGAAGGAACAAATGGACGGGGAAGCGACAGTGGCTTGGATGAGACAGCAGTCTTGGTGCAATGGCAAAGTCGGCGTCACAGGCGCGTTGGGGTCGGTCAACAGTGGGCATCCGAAAAGAGAAGGGGAAGCGTTACGACTCTAGACAAAAGCAAGATTCTGCCAATTCATCTTGCATTCTCATGAATGGTTTTTATTTTCCAAGTTCCCCAGACATACGGCACTATGTATGACAAATCGAGCCTTTATTGGTTATTTGCATGTAGCTATACATGGTAATCTGAACACGCAAGTATTTCGATCCGCACCTGAAAAGCAGGTGTGAGCTACCTTGGGTTCACGGCTTGGGCCTGTGTGGATCGTGCCAATGTGGATGCGATTGTCACTGTGGTCGCATTTTAGAACTGTTTTCTTCCTGCAAGTTCAGTTTTGGGATGCAGGCAAGTCAGCTTTCCCATTTGCAGGTTCCGATGATCACTCAGAGCAACATCCGCAGTGCAGTGTTCCGTCCTGGGGGTGCAGTGAGCTTTGAGCTGGTGGTGCTTTGGTTCTACCTGGTGTTGCATCTCATGAAGGACGAAGCTATTGATCTAGCCTGGCCCCTCAAGTCTACCCTTCCCAACACCTGCTGGAGAGTTCGAACAATCTCCGGCAATGAATTTCTTGATATACACGGGTCACAAGAAGCTCTCTCTTCCTTTACTAAGCTCATTCCAATTTTTGCTGGACATTGCTGGGCCACTGGCCAAGCCGAACAGAATTGGCGTAGGACCTGGGCCGTGACCGGTGGTCCTTTGTGCGGAAGCTCTGGCAGGGTATCCGGGAGGAGAAGCTTCGCAAAGCGTTCAAGTCACTTCCCATGGGTCGCTTGGCTGTGAGAAGCGGCCTACAGATCTACACAGCCGAATAGCAATGGCCTCCAACCCGATGGCCTCCAACCCTGTAGCGACCATCTACAGTAGGTGTTCTTTTCCAACATTCTTTTTCTGAGATCATTTTGACTCTCCCTTCCTCCGCAGAAAGGGCTACCGTGTACATGATGATCACATGTGGGAACGCAGTTGGTCTGAGGCAAGGTGGATGAAATCATTCTGGGCTCTCCCAACAGCTTCTTGCAGGTGGGAAATTCAGTGAGAGCTCCTCGTGCACGGTCCAGCCACATTTATGTAGTTCGGGTGGACTCGGGCTTTTTCAGGTATTTTGATTCACGGTGGAAGAACAGCAGAAGGTCTTTGGAAAGTGGAAAGATCCTGCACATGCCACTAGACTCCACTGGAGTGACTAGACACCTTTCTCTTGCACTCGGGACGACAAGATCAGTTAAGTGGAGGCTGGGCTTTCGGCACATGGTGATGCATCCAGCGGCTTTTGGGAGGGCAAGGAGTGCTGGAAGACTCGGGGCTCTGACTTGGTTTCTCGATTCGAAGGGGATTTGACGATGGCATTTCAAGTAAGAGAGTTTTACAAAAGCTGTCATGAGGTGGACACAACTTTCTGCTCACTTTGTCCGGGCATGGGGTGAGTGTTGGACATTTTTGGCTGTCATTCAAGCTTTACAAGGTTGGCCTGGCCAATGAGACCGCAACATAGTGTTCGTAAAACTTATAAGTTTTGTTTTGAATCACTTGAAACAGATTGTTTGTGTAGAAAACGTCGATGGTTTCCAGCGTTGCCAACTACTCACACATTGGTCAGGACAAGCTTGCACTTGCCACAGGAGAAGCTGTGCAACTTCGAGAAGCCCATCCCTCCATGCCACATCCTCACAGGCACCCCGGGGAAGGTGGCACAAAGCAGTTTGCAAAACTGTTCTACACAGTTTGTTTATCGAACTGCTTTGTTCACCAAACACTTTACTGTTGGGGTCTCGAGGTTGTTCTCAAAATGTTGGCACGCTCTCGCTGCCCCCTGCTCGGCCGCTCCCACCTTCTGCTCTTTCCGTTGAGGTCTCCCACCCTCTCTTTTTACACTCTTTTGTACCTTTTGTGTCCTGCTTTGCAGTGCACTTGAAAGTAAACATTCTATCTTGAGCAGGAATGCCAAAGACATTGGTGCATTGCAAAGAGAATCATGTCGAGCAACATGGTGGGTTGCGGGTTGCCCGGTTCGGTTTGCCCCCGCTTGACTCTGAAGAAACGTTTCGAGAGGCAGAATGACTGACATAACATATGCTGCATAAGTGAAGGCACTGTGGGTGGAAACTCGCGTATCCAAGTGTCGACACGATCTCCTTTTTTGCAGGCTTCTGTCAGTTCACTCATCGGGCTGTGTCTTCAGCCACTCACCAGTGGAAATTTGCCTTCCACTGCACCCATATACATTTAAAAAACATATATGTAACTATACTTATTAAATATGTAATGAAAGAGGACACTATCGCTGATAACAACCAACCAAAATGAGTGACTGCTCGATGAGAAGCATAGACATGTCTTTTTTTTGTGATTTGCAATGCTTCAACGCAGCCTGAGGAACCTAGGTTGGAGGCCATCGCTCCTAGGTTGGAGGCCATCGCTTCTAGGTTGGAGGCCATCGCTTCTAGGGTGGAGGCCATCGCCTCTAGGATGGAGGCCATTGCTTCTAGGGTGGAGGCCATCGGTTGTAGGGTGGAGGCCATCGCTTCTAGGTTGGAGGCCATCGCTTCTAGGTTGGAGGCCATCGCCTCCAGGTTGGAGGCCATCGCTCCTAGGGCGGAGGCCATCGCTTCTAGGTTGGAGGCCATAGCTTCTGGGTTGGAGGCGATCGCTTCTAGGTTATAGGCCATCGCTTCTAGGTTGGAGGCCTCTTCTAGGGTGTAGGCCATCGCTTCTCGGGTGGAGGCCATCGCTACTAGGGTGTAGGCCATCGCTTCTAGGGTGAAGCGGAGGCCATCGCTTCTAGGGTGGAGGCCATCGCTTCTGGGTTGGAGGCCATCGCCACTAGGGTGTAGGCCATCGCTTCTAGGGTGGAGGCCATCGCTTCTAGGTTGGGGGCCATCGCTTGTAGGGTGGAAGCCATCGCTTTTAGGTTGGAGGCCATCGCTACAAGGGTGTAGGCCATCGCTTCTAGGGTGGAGGCCATCGCTTCTAGGTTGGAGGCCATCGCTACTAGGGTGTAGGCCATCGCTTCTAGGTTGGAGGCCATCGCTTGTAGGGTGGAAGCCATCGCTTTTAGGTTGGGGCCATCGCTACAAGGGTGTAGGCCATCGCTTCTAGGGTGGAGGCTATCGCTTCTAGGGTGGAGGCCATGGCTTCTAGGTTGGAGGCCATCGCTACTAGGGTGTAGGTCATCGCTTCTAGGGTGGAGGCCATCGCTTCTAGGGTGGAAGCCATCGCTAACAATTACTTTTTCCAAAGCGGTGTGTATTCGGCCAAGCTGTGTCGTGTTCCTTTGAGACGAGTGGAGGCGTCACTGCTGACGATTCACCTGTGGATACACAGGATCAACACACTCTTCTGAACAGCCCAAGAGTCTCGAGGAGCTTTCATGCCTGTACACAACACGGTGCGAAACCATGCTTGGCTTGCAGCTCAGCATCGTGACCTCCCTGTATTCGAGCGGCCCACGGCTTGTATGCCATCGTTCAGTTTGACAAGCCTGAGAATGCTTTTGGGAACGTGGGTCCAACAGGATCCAGAAGGAAAGAATAATTTCAAAGTGGGAAGCAACAGCAGTGTTTCTAGAACCATACGAGGTACCAGGGTCGACCACTACAGGCACGATGGAAACACGCAAGGATTCGAGCAGATCAGGGCAAGAGACTCAGGCGTCTCGGGTCTCGAGCCACGGTACCTTGTTTTCCCGGCTTTTCTTTTGATGGCTTTCATGGCGCATGTCAGGTTTTCCTTTTTGAAAGCGCGGTTGACGATCGAAGATGCCACAGTGCGAGAGACAGGCTTCAAACGACCACTGGACTAACGCAGTCTATCATTTTTCTTCAAGGACGATTTCTTCGCTGTGCGCTATCTACATTGTTGTCTCGCGTCAAAGTGATGCATTGTGGAATACCCTGCCCTGGTTGTGGCCTTGATGATATAGTCCCAAACGTGCCCTCTGGTTGTGTCCCTCATCACACTTGGTTGTGCCCTGAGTGTATCCCTTGTGGCACCGAACCATGGTGGGAGCCCTGGTAGTGTCTTAGTTTAAACCCAACCAAATATACCTGACTATTGGCAAGAGTTTTGATAAGTGCACAAAACCTTTGTTTCTAGTGATCATCCCTCCCCTGGCAGGCATGAAAAAACACGTACCTTCGGAGGGTGATTGGGAACCCCATTGATGAAAAGGGGGGCAAACCTCCCGGTCAAACCAACATGTTGGTGCATATCAGAAGATATCCTAGAACAAACGCAATTGAACAATTGAACAAACGAGGATGCCTCTTAGTAGAATCACCGAATACACCCCAGATTCATTCCGCAGCCCCTGGCCATCATGTGTTTTCTGATGACTTTATTCAACACCACAAAGCTAAACTCATGTCAGGTGTGCATTACTCTTTTTTGCATCTTTTTGCACTTTGGTTGTGGTGACCACGAAGGCTGGTACGACTTCTTCCTGGAGGGCGCTTTGGAAGACTTCCAGATGGCCTTGAGACGGGGGAGTCATGTGAGTTTGACTGCGCCTGGGTGCATTTTGTGTTTCTTGCTTCAAACTCTTGGTGCAGGACACAAATCTCAGCAGAAAGTGCAAACAAAAAGCCAATTATATAGCTATGCAAGACAAAATCCAGCTGTTTTAGACATCAGAAATTCCTTTGCCCATGCTCGCGTTACTACTGGTCAAGTGGTGCAATTGAGGAATTACCATTGTTGCAACTGCATTCGCTATGCAGTTCACTGTCCCAGGCTGTAGGAAAGGATAACCTTCCTGATTTTGATACGTTTGGAGGAGGTGAAAGTTGAAGTGGACATTAGCAATTTGCAGGTTCGCCTCGTGTGAGCCGCAATGACTTGGTAACAGTACGCACACCAGAGATGACATGGGTGAAATGGAGCAGTAACATTCCCAAAGTGTCTATTCACTTTTGGCTAGTCCCAAAACTTAAAGCTCATTGAAGTAAGTGGTCCTTTTTTCTTAGTTTTTCGACTTCCTTATGAGGATTCAGAAAATTGCATGACCGGCAAAGGTGGGGCCAACTCACCATTGGAGCCTGCTGGGATTTCGTGGCTTGCCCTAGTGAGGCTGTTGCAAGTAAGATCATAAAGTGGAATGACAAATACAAATTGTATCAAGTTGCTAGATTGGTGTTTTGTCAGTGAACAACGGATATACACAAACCCTCTCCTCCGCCAAGGCCAAGTCTTTGAGAAGACGATGCTCTCCACCTTCGATGAGCATTTGAAGGGTGACCTGCGATGGCACGGCCAAAGCCAGGAGGATCCAGGGCAGAGGCCTAGAAACGTCCAGAGCATTAAAGCTACGAAGCAACTGAGATGTCTTTTGATGTCAAGGACGATTGCAGGAGGCTATTGCTATTAGGTTGGAGGCCATCGCTAGGCCATTGCTCTTCTATTAGGTTCTTTTTGCTCTTAGGTTGAAGGCCATTGCCCAAGTTCACCAACTTTGCAACTTCACCGCTTCACCTGTTTGTACGAGGCCACTGAGCATGGTCTCCGCCTCTGCAGAGGAACACCATGACCGGCGGGTGCATCTCTACGTGCTCGGCCTGGGTTGGCGCCACTACCGGAGCTATCCACCCTTGACGGTGATGGAGTCTTGGCACCTGGGCTCCAGCTTCGACCTCCGACGAACTTCACAAGAGGTGAATCACAGCTTCTTGGAGTCTGGAACTCCCCAGATCGGGGCGGCAGGGTACTGAGCAGCAGCATTGTGTAACTGTGGCTTTGCCTGAATTCCCCCTTACCTCCATTTGCGGGGCGGCTGCGCGCCATGGCGCCGTCGCCTGGGACGCCCCTTGGCGGGGAGCGTCCCCGACGCCGGGCTCCTTCCCCTGCAGCGAGCAGTGCTGCAGTGATGGAGGTTGACTCGGCGCCGGCTGCTGCTGACGCCGCTCCCCCTGGCCGGCTGGTGTGCCCGGTGCTGGGGTGCCCTTGTGCTGATGCCAGCCGCCACCCTGGATGGACCAGTGAGGCCACTCTCCGAGCTCATGTGGATGTGCACCTCGCTGGCGCTTTGGCCGGAGAGGTCCCAGCGGCCTGGCTTGCAGCCGGTCGCCCTGCCCAAACCTGATGGCGGTGTGCGCCCCATTGCCATTGGTGAAGTTTTGCGCCGCCTTACCGGCAAATGCCTCATGCATTTGGTGCACGAGGATGCCAGAGCACACTTCTGGCCAGCCCAGACAGTGGTGGCGGTCAAAGCAGGGGCCGAAGCCGCTGTCCACACACTGCGCTCTTGGGTGGGCCGGCATTCTGGAGCCACTGACCGCATCGCCGTGAAACTAGATTTCCGGAATGCCTTCAACGCCGTCAGCAGAGAAGTTGTCCTCCACCAAGCTCGGGACCATGTCCCGGCGCTAGCCAGGTGGGCGACTTGGTGCTATAGCTCGGAAAGCAGGCTGCAGTTTGGTGATTTTGCCTTGGGGTCCAGCACTGGTGTGCAGCAGGGCGACCCCTTGGGGCCGCTCCTGTTTGCCGCGGCGTTGCAGCCTCTTGCTGATGAGATGCGACGCAGCCCCTTGGATCTGTCTTTGTTTTACCTGGACGATGGTGTTTTGGCTGGGAGCGTGCATGCTGTCAGCCTGGCTCTCACAAGGGTCCAAGCTGCCGGTGGTGAGTTCGGCCTTGCTCTCAACCTTGCCAAAAGTGAGGTGGTGATTGTGGGCCGGACCCCCCCTAGTGCCTTGCAAGGCCACCTGTCCCAGGAGCTCCTCACAAGTTCAGATGGCCGTTGCCGAGTCCTCCATGACTTTGAATTCCTGTGGGGGCCGCCATCGGCGCTGCAGCATACATGGAACACCATGCTGCCGGACGGGTTGCTGCCGCTGAGAAGCTTTTGGACGCAATCAGCGCGTTGCCTGATGCCCAGGTTGCTTTGCGCCTCCTTCGGGCATGTGGTGGGTTTGCGCGCTTGCTGCACACCACGAGATGTTGCCCTCCCAGCGGCCAGAAGAGCGCCTTGGTGCAGTTTGACACGCTGGTGCAGCGATGCTTCAGTTCCTTCACTGGCATCCATTGCTCTGTGCAGCAATGGGCTCAAGCTACCCGGGGTTTGCCTCTGGCAGGCTTGGGGCTTCGCTCCACTTCGACGCATTCACCAGCGGCCTACTTGGTCTCTGTGGGCGCGTGCCTCCAACAGTGTTGTGACCTCGACCCAACCTATCCAGCCGACCTCACCGCCAGCCCGGATGTGCTCGATGCCATGCGCTTGTTCAATGCTTGCTTGGATGCCGGCCAGCATCTTTCAGCAGCAGCTGCTTTGACCAGGCAGCAACAAGACCTCAGCCGATTGCTGGACAAGGCGGGCTGGGATGCCCAGATGGCCGCCGCTTCGGCGGTGGAAAGGACCAGCCTGGTTTCTGAAGGAGAACTGGGCGGGCGGGCTTTCTTGGCAGCCATCCCGCATGGGCCCAGGCAAATGGAGTCGGCGCTGTTCGTGGCGGAGCTCCGTCTGCGCCTGCAGGTGGCGGACGCTGCTGAGGACACCTGGTGTCCGAAATGCGATGCAGTGCTGGACACGCACTCGCATCACGCAGCAGTCTGTCTCGCAGGAGGTGAGCGGACCCAGCGTCGCCACGCTGTGCGTGACCTCATTTCGTCTTGGGCCGAGCGGGTCGGCTTGCGCCCTGAGAAGGAGAAGCCAGGGTTGCTGCTCCCTCAACACCCAGATGACCATCGGAGTTGCCAGCGGCGGCCAGCGGACATTTTCATTCCTGTTTTCAATGGTGCCCCAACTGCATTTGACATAGCCGTTACGGCCTCCCAGCGGTTGGACACCTTGGCGGAAGCGGGACATGTTGCGGCTGCTGCTGCCACGGCCTACACGGAGGTCAAGCGGAAGCACCTCAACACCGCCGAGCTCTGCGCAGCCCAAAATGTGCGGTTCCAGCCCTTGGTCGCCGAGACCACTGGCGCTTGGAGCCCTGAGGCTGCCCGGGTGCTGCGGCAAGTGGCGCGCACAGCTGCTTTGCGCTCTGGCGATGATGTGGGCCTTGCTCAGGCCAACCTGTTCCAAGAGGCCTGCATTCTCATCCGGGGCATCGTGCCCGTGCGGCCCTTCGCCGCTGCGCTGAGCGGGTGACAGCAAGGACGATCTGAGGTGCAGAGCCACCTTTCCTTGATGCCTGCGTGGTGGACGTTTTTGTTTTCTGTTCGGCTTTCCGCTTCCACTTTGCAAGGAGACGGGTGCCTTTGCGTCGATTTTGCCTTGGCGTTTTTGGGGAATGTTTTCCTTCGGTTTTTCCTCCATTTGCCTTGCGGCTTCGACGCCGTCTAGACTAGCCGGCCCTACGCGCCACGTGGAGGACCTGGCCTTTCCCCCCCTGTTTCGGTGGGGCCTGTTTACACGGTTTCCTTTTCCCTTTTTTTTTGGGGCCTTTGCTGCAGGGCACTGTACAGCCGGCCTTGGCATGGCCCCTTGTTCCTAGCTTGTTTCTTTGATCTTTCGAACCCTTTAAGTGCGGCCCTTGTTTGAAGCCCATGCCTGTGGCATGTGTCAGCTTCCTGTGTACATTTCTTTGCAGGGCAGTATTGTAGCAGCATCCCAGTCCCCACGATTGAAGGACATTGACTACTGGTCTCTTTCGATGTCCTAGCTTCCTCGCACGTGTTTGATCTGATGGGTCAATCTGAGAAAAGATGACATCCTTGCCAGAGAAGCATGCTGTGTCAAACCCAGGAATTGGTTCCGATTTGCTCATGTTTGCCCGAGCGTTTCTCAGGTTACTTCTACAATCCGGCAAGGCCCACACCTGCAGCGGGTGGCCCGTCCTTCAATCCGATGAACGCAGGAACAGTCAGGGGCCATATGGATGCTTGAGCCGAACATGTTGCTTTCCCATTGCTCTTGCTTCCAGGTTGGGTTGTCATTCTCAATCCCATGCTGATATGCCTTTACACACACACTCACACATGCACAAACAATGTGATCAATGTGATCCGCGAAACTTCACGCCCTGAAGGAGCACGAGATCAGTCCAAGATTGAGGCTGGTGTGTGTGTGTCAACTCCTGTTTCCAAGGACACTAGTCTAGCTATTCCTACTACTTCAGCTCGTCAATCAGCAGTTATGTACAGAAAATCAGCAGGGGGTGCAAGCAGCCCATCCAGTCTTGCACCAACGAAGACACTGGATGTGTGCTGGTGATATCGATTTGGGAGCTCAAGCTGTCTACTTCGTTGTTTCCTCCAGTAAAGGGCTACTGCAGTGATTATATGTTTTCCGCATTTTAAGTATCCACCTAAAGGGCTAATGCACTCCGCGAAGAAGCCTGAAATCGCGCTCTGCGGAGCAACCTTCCCAAGTGTGTCTTCGCAGCTTCTTCCCACTGTGGTAAGCTGTGTGATCCCTACGGGGCGCGGTTACTGCAAGAACCTTCTCACTCCTCACCGCAGGAGTAAGTTTCCTGAAGTTTTTTCTGAAGATCACTCGACTGAATTTTCCTGCTCGAAATCAGCTTGCTTGGAATGTCTCACCTTGCACACGTGAAGTGTTACTGCAGAGTTCACTGAAATTTCCACTGAAATATACTGCAGAGTTTCACTGAAACATGTCTCACCCCGGAGATGTTTTCTTGTTCCAATTGTTTCAATAATTTTAACAAAGCGCCGATTCGGCTTCTCGGACAGTGCCTATGGGCCCGTACCGTTCGCTCGTAAGAGCCTCCATCCCTACCCCGCACCCCCTGCACCTTTGCTTGTTTTTCTTGCCTTTTCTTTTGTCTTGTTCCTTCCTTCAGGCTTTTTAGGTATGATCCAGGCTCGTTTAGTCAACGCACGCCCTACCCGCCCCCCGCACCCCCTGCACCTTTCTCTTCTTTCTTTGCCTTTTTCGTTTGTCTCGTTCTTTTCTTCAGGCTGGTTAGGTGGCATCCAGGCTCGTTTAGTCAATGCACGCCCGAACACCCCTTCACCCCCTGGCAGAAAAAGGAGAAAAAAGAACTAGACGACGAGTGGCCCGAAAGCATTTTTCATCACGTAGGAAGTCAGAGTGTGAGTTATCTGTTAAGTGTACAGTGTGAAGTGTTAAGTCGAGTGAGTTGAGGCAGTGTGTGGGTCTCTGTGTGTGTATCTATGTCTGTGTGTGTATGAGTCTCTGTCTGTGTGTGTGTCTCCGAGTAAGTTGAGGCAGTGCGTGGGTCTCTGTGTGTGTGTCAACCTTTTAAGAGAGCCGGGCGGTCGGGAGACATGACTCAGCTGCAGGGGCGCCAGAGCAGCTGCGAGAGATGACTCAGCCGCGAGAGATGACTCATCCGCGTACTGAAGTTGCACTGCAAAGTCACCAGTTCTCAGCTTCCAGCTCCACAGATTGCTCCGCGTACTAAAGTTGTACTACAAAGTCGCCAGTTCTCATCTTCC